GCTCTGCTGCTATATGTGTGATAGTTGCAGTACCCTGCTGAGTGGATGAACTCACATTTAGTTGGGCTACTGCTGGTAATGCAAGTTTGATTAAAGGATCTAGTTGATCCTGGGTTTTATCTTCATACATTATTATATTAGCAATGATTTCCTGAAGTTCTCGTTTAGTAAGATCTGTTAGATAAATCTCTGCATGGTATTTGATTTGTTCATATTTATCAACAAGCTGCTTTTTACTGTTATTCAGAGTTATTAAATCAGGAGATGCTTGTTTTGCTAACCTTTGACATTTGTCAATCATTTGAGTTACGTGATTTTGTAGACCATTAAGTGTCCTATTTCCTGTTTCAGCTGCTGGTGGAAGACTGTTAGCCATTTTGACTTTTTCCGAGTTTCGGAGATATTTATTTTTTTGGTAAAAATATGTATAATGTTAATGAATTTTGATAAATGAGCTATCCTGCCCTCTTAAGTAATGATTACGAAGATCGTCCTTCCTTTCTTCCTTGGAATCTGGATGTAGCAGGAACTCAATTATCGAAAGTGTAATAATTTGGTTTTTCATCCGAATGCACCAAATCAGTAAATTTTGTAATAATTGTTTAAAAATAGTAAATGGCACTATTTTTGCAAAATTATTACAAGACCTATTACCCTAGTAGGGGTTTGATAAAATACTGTAGAATGCCTACTGGTTTGACCATAAATAGGGTTAGTTACAATTGAGTATGGATATATTGTAATGAAATACTCTTATAGTGTTAAAAACACTTAAAAAAATACCCCAACACGCATATGGGGGTGCCCCTCTGAGACGCGAGTTCAAGTCCACCGCACTGCTTCAGAAGATTTTCCCCATAGATCACACTAAGCCAAAAATCAGTGGAATGAGGTGGAATGAAAGACCATTGTTGGTTTGTGGTTGTATTTACAAGCTGGCGTTTTAAAAGTCTCAGCCGAAGAATCTGGACGCAGTAATAGTTTAAAATCATAATGGACTGGGAAATGTTGCACAGCTTCTCTCAACACAGGGAGAGTATCTTTAGATATACACAGGGAGAGTATCTTTAGATATACACAGGGAGAGTATCTTTAGATATACACAGGGAGAGTATCTGCAGGTGTACATAGGAAGAGGGTAGCCAATATAGGTATTGTCGTGTATACCCGACATGGATGTGGTGCAGTGTATAACAATCTCCTTAGTGGATAATTTTAAGGCTTGTATGATTTTCACGGCCACGAATATACATCGGAAGTGAAATAGAATCCCTGTGTGAGGCGGAGCCAGACACGACCAGAAAGGGGGAGAGAGAGGGAGGGAGAGAGAGAGAGAGAGAGAGAGAGAGAGAGAGAGAGAGAGAGAGAGAGAGAGAGAGAGAGACAGACAGAGAAAGAGAGAGATAGAGAGAGAGAGAGAGAGAGAGAGAGAAATAGAAAGAGAAAGAGAAAGACAGACACACACACACAAACAGGAATTAAAACAGAAGAGGGTAGTTACAATTAAGAGTTAGAGGTTAAGGAATATGATAGAGCCTGCTGTTAAAGGGACGGGTTTTGCACTGTGAAAACCTGCAAATTCGTAAAAAAAAAAATTCATATCTAACTTAACGATTCATTAAAACTATTAACAACTCAATATTCAACAATAAAGTCTAAATTACCTCATGTTTGCCGTCCTTAACACAATAAACTCCACCATCTTACTGATGGAGATATTTCCTCTCATGTTAAATTTTAAGTTCATAACAATAATTTTGAATATTATTAAATCAGCATTAAGGACACTCATTCTATATTCCAAAAGTAGACTGGAGAGACGGGTGGGGGGAGGGGGGATAGATGAAAGAAGGATAGTAAAATATCATAGATTGTGTGATAGAAAACCCATGATTAGTGATGGATAGAAGTAACGCAAAAAAAAAATAGGTACGCGTATAAAGCAAGGTTGTGGTTCGAGGGTGATAAACAGGTGGGAGGTGACATAGTTGAAGAAATAGAGAGGGAGTAGATGAATAGTTGAAAAGGGAGAGTTGAACCAAACAGCTGTACCCCGGGGGATGAGACTTGTCAGGTTGGAGAATTCACATTGATTTAGCATTCTCAAAGTACCTATGTAATGAATAGTTTACGTACACACGCAATCGAGTATTTTACATACGCAATTGTGTATTTTACACACACAATTGTGTATTTTACATACACAATCGAGTATTTTACATACACAATCGAGTATTTTACATACGCAATCGAGTATTTTACATACGCAATTGTGTATTTTACACACACAATTGTGTATTTTACATACACAATCGAGTATTTTACATACACAATCGAGTATTTTACATACACAATCGAGTATTTTACATACACAATTGAGTATTTTACATACACAATCGAGTATTTTACATACACAATTGAGTATTTTACACACACAATTGAGTATTTTACATACACAATTGTGTATTTTACACACACAGTCGAGTATTTTACACACGCAATTGAGTATTTTACATACACAATCGAGTATTTTACATACACAATTGAGTATTTTACACACACAATTGTGTATTTTACACACACAATCGAGTATTTTACATACACAATTGAGTATTTTACATACACAATCGAGTATTTTACACACACAATTGAGTATTTTACACACACAATTGAGTATTTTACATACACAATCGAGAATTTTACACAATCGAGTATTTTACATACACAATCGAGTATTTAACTCACGCTATCGAGTATTATTTGGTATGGCGTAATGTATTTGATAGCTCCAATGTTAATGGACATAAACTTGTGAATTCTTCAATGAAAAAGGGAAACTGGCGGTAAACTCAAACACGTGGATGACGCCCAACAGTCAGGTGGATCTGACTGTTGTGTGGCCAGAGTCTCACCTGAGGGCTGAGGTGACTGTCTCCTGACTGTGTCTGTGCTTCTGTCACCCCCCCTGACTGACTGTCACCACCTAACAGTTCAGTGACCAAGCGATTATGTACTAACCACATGACTGTCAATGACAGTCCCACACCGCAGTCGTGTCACCACTGCCAGTCTCACGTGAAACTCTGGACCTGTCACAATGAAACCTGCAATTCAGGAAGACTCTGTAAACCACTAACAACTTTAGCATGATATAATCAATCGAAGCATCATATAAATCAATACAAAGTATATCATCTGTATACAAAAGATACACTGATAAGTATTGGGGCAATACAGAAGCCAGTTTCCCTAAAATACACAATACAACGGGGACACAAATACCCAGTGGAACCACTGTATTATTGGTTGGGTAACTGTAATGAATTTTGGTGTTTGTAATGCAGTTTCTATAGGTAATTTATATTATAATTTTAAGTATAAATGAACCCATAGTAGAAAACATTTTAATTCTTATATATATATATTTAATCCGATTTGTTTATATATAATATTTAGTAATCGCTCAGTAATGTGGTAAATAAGGTTATATATTACAATGCTTTACAATGAGCTGATGGGGGAGGAGGAATTTTAAGTTTGAAAATGTCAAAACACTGCTAAGTGGAAAAGATTATAATGAGACTAGTAAGGGGGCTAGTAGAGAGGGCGTGAGGCTAGTTAGTTGTGCTGTCGGGCTAGTTTTAGTGTTGGGCTTAAGACCTATCAACCTCTGGAGGGTTATTAAGACCACCGCAACACCTTACTGACCAAGCAGCGAGTATACTTTAGTCCTGGACATACTGTAGAGACTGTTGTGGTTCCACTGAATACTCGAATCCCCCAGTATACCACAGCACATAGGGCTGCGTGCAAGAAGGACACACAGCGATATACAAAACTCCAGATTAGTGCCCCTCTAGTCTGTATCCACATGAACCTGACCACACTCGCTAACACCTCTATAATATACTTATGTTTCTCAATCTTCACTACATTGTCCAAGTTGAAATATATATATATATATATATATATATATATATATATATATATATATATATATATATATATATATATATATATATATATATATATATATATATATATACATATATATATATGTATATACATATATATATATGTATATATATATATATACATATATATATATATATATATATACATATATATATACATATATATATATACATATATATATTTATATATATATATATATATATATATATATATATATATATATATATATATATATATATATATATATATATATATATATATATATATAATTTTCAATGTATAACCAGGTGCAAACTGCAGCAATCTCACATGAATGTGGATAGTAAATAAACTTCTCTAGTATCATAAACACAACAGAGGTATTGAAAGCAATTTACAATACATGTAGCATCGTGTTAGATGTAAATGCATGAACTTTGGTTGGCAGAGTAACTCGTCTTGAACATGGGGGGGAAGCAGAGTCCTAGCATACGACGCCGCCGCCGACTCTACGAGACGGCTCTGTTTACCAACACCACAATTTCAGTCAGTGACTCGGCGTTATAAGAGATGTGGCAACGCCAGAGATGTGGCACCGCCATGAAGCAAGTGACCAATGAACTCCACGTCGGCTGTGTTTGTCAACAATGAACCCACGTGGGAAGTGTTTGTCAACAATGAACCCACGTGGGAAGTGTTTGTCAACAATGAACCCACGTGGGAAGTGTTTGTCAACAAGAACCCACGTGGGAAGTGTTTGTCAACAAGAACCCACGTGGGAAGTGTTTGTCAACAAGAACCCACGTGGGAAGTGTTTGTCAACAATAGACATATCTGGCATATGGATGATGAAGAGCAACTAAAGAGGTAGCCGCGTTGGCCACCAGTGAGGTACGGTCATGGACCAGGATACACCAAGCCTTTACGTCTCCTCTGACGAAACCTGTACATCTTTCAAGGAACATGGCTTCTTAGTCTGTTTATGAACCAGTTAGTGAGATTAGAAACTTCGCAAACCAAGGTTATTATTGTTATAAACACCCTTGTACTGCTTAACTCATAAACGGCTTAATAAATGTAACAGCAGCCGCCATGATTGAATGATGTATGGGTTTCGTAAACGAACACGTAAATGCTTGGTAAATTCTGGTGTTGGCGACTGGGCTGGGACCTCGACCTAGCGTCCACGAAGGAGGGCAAGAGCACACACACAGACCTGAGAACATACCCAGGGAGGGGAAACTGGGGTAGGGCCCCTCGGGTCCTGTCCCCTTTCCTGGGGGAAGGAATAGCCATGCACCCACCCTTCACCCGGGGTATAGAAAGCTGTACAAGGCAAGGAAATGCCACACCAGGGTGCCATACCAGGGTGCCACACCAAGGTGCCACTCACCAGGGCACTCTGCCCCCCCCCCCACCCCTCCTTGAGTATGGGCTCAGATCCTTACAGGCCATGCACTCTAACGAACCTAAACCTATAATAAATATGGGGTTTAATGTTATTATGTAACCTATGTACAGAGATGGAGACGTTAACCACATACAAGGCCTCCCAAGCATTAAATTGAGGAAATGTCTATTTACGTCAAACTTCTACCAAAAGTACAAACGTTCAGACCATTAGTGTGTGTGGAACTATAGTGTCGGTACCCTAACCTAACAACTCTTTTTTTGTGTTTTTTTGCAAATGGAACTTTGTTCTGCCGCTGACAAAGTACATAGAGAACAGTTCCTTAGTCGTGAATTCATACATACCTATATATATATATATATATATATATATATATATATATATATATATATATATATATATATATATATATATATATATATATATATTATTCTTTCAGATTATGGTAATGAGATCAAAAAGTTATTTACCCAGCTACTCCAAGCTTAGGAAGAATGCATGAACATATGATCAAACTGTCCTGTGATTTTCTGATGTTTTTAATAATAAATTTATATTTGTGTCTGAAATTAAAAAAGCCAACACCCACATGGTATGGTCCTTCATGCCCCCGGCCACGTGATAGGGTGTGGCTGGTGTGGTCTGGGAACACCCGTTTACCTTCCACCAGCCACCTGTTGAGGGTGTGGCTGGTGTGGTCTGGGAACACCCGTTTACCTTCCACCAGCCACCTGTTGAGGGTGTGGCTGGTGTGGTCTGGGAACACCCGTTTACCTTCCACCAGCCACCTGTTGAGGGTGTGGCTGGTGGGGTATGTTTAACGCATGCACATAGCCACAGTACAGAGGGTGCCTGCTGGGAGCCACACCACCCTCTTAGTCTCTATAAGCCACACCAACTGCTGAACTCAAAAGAAATTGATCTTGACGTGTTTTGAACGTTCAACGATGGAGCGCGAATGGATGAACAGTTGCGGGTTTAAGCCGAGAGGCAGGTTGAGGTGTGGGTGTGTGGGTGTGGCGAGGCAGGCAGCAGCGAGGGTGTGGTGGTGAATCAAGCTGGATGACGCAAGTGGGCGTCGACGTCTTAGATGTCCAGCGGCATGTCGGCGCTGCCCTCGACGACGTCCAGCTCGTCGTCGCCATCCTCGGCGTCGTCGTCGACGTAGTTACTGACCTCCTCGCTGTTGACCACCGCCTCTGTCACAGGTGAGCAGCGAAATTGTTATAACTGCATAAACAACTTTAGACACACACACCCACCGGGGGACTCGAACCCTCGCCAGCACAGATCCTACACAACACCTGGTATAGCTGGTGCGCATTAAACCCACTGCAACAAACTCAGAGCTGTATATATATATATATGTATATAATATATAAGTATGGGAAGGGGAGGAATTATCAGGGAAAGGTACCAAGCCTTTACGATTATATAGCACTGGGAAGGGGGTCAGGATAAGGATTTGGGATGACACGGGGGGTGGGGGGGGGGGGGTGTGGAAGGAATGGTGTCCAACCACTTGGACGGTCGAGGATTGAACGCCGACCTGCAAGAAGCGAGACCGTCGCTCTACCGTCCAGCCCAAGTGGTTGGACAATAATTATGAGGAGAAGGAGGGAATGTAGGCAAAGAAGGGAAGATATATGGAGCAGAGATATGTAGTAAGTGTAAAAGTAAGAGAACTAATTAGGCACATGTTGACCAAACCACATATCAGAAATGTATGTCAAGTCGATGTGACTCGTCGTCTGCATATCCTCCAGTCTCAGGAGACTATAGAGTTGTGCCCTGGTTGTCAGTCCTGGTGCAGCGTCTGGTGTGACTGATGAGGCCAATCCGAGAGTGGCAGTCCATCCCACACCGAGCACAAACGAAGTCTGTTTCTGGTCTGTCCTGGCTACCGGCTTTCCTTCTCTGTCTCTTTGCCTCTGATTGCTTGGTAAATAACTCCTTGAACTTGGAGAGATCTGTTTGAACATCAAGATCGACTTCCATGGCTTTCAGGTCCCTCTTGCATACGTCTTTGTACCGTAGCTGGGGCTTGCCTGTTGGACGCTTTCCCTGCATCAGCTCTCCGTACAGGAGATCCTTGGAGATCCTGCCGTCGCCCATTCGCACAACGTGCCCGAGCCAGCGCATTCGTCTCTGTTTCAGCATTGTGTACATGCTGGTGATTCTTGCTCTCCCCAAGACGTTGTTGTTTGTCACCTTGTCCTGCCAGGTGATGTCCAAGATGTGTCTAAGGCAGCGCATGTGGTAGGCATTCAGCTGTCTTTCCTGACGGGCGCGGAGTGTCCAAGACTCACTGCCATAAAGGAGAGTGCTCAGGACACAGGCTCTGTAAACCTGAATCTTTGTATACTCAGTCAGCCTATTGTTGGCCCACACTCACTTTGTCAGTCTGGACATGGTAGTAGATGCCTTACCGATGCGTTTGTTTAGCTCCGTATCAAGAGAGAGGGAGTCAGAGATTGTGGAGCCCAGGTACACGAAGTCGTGAACGACTTCCAGTTTGGAATCAGAGATGCCGATGTCAGGTGGGGAGTCCACTCCTTGTCCCATGACTTGTGTTTTCTTCAGGCTGATGGTGAGTCCGAAACTCCGGTAAGCCTCGCTGAAGCGGGTTATGAGCCGTTGGAGGTCTTCGGCTGAGTGGGCAGTGACTGCTGCGTCGTCAGCAAAAAGGAAGTCGCGCAGACACCTCAGCCGAACCTTCGTCTTGGCTCTCAGCCTGGCGAGGTTGAAGGTCTTCGTCAGATCTATGAAGGCTACGAAGAGTGGCGGCTTCTGTTCCCTGCATTTCTCCTGCAGTTGTCTGAGGAAAAGGACCATGTCGATGGTGGACCTGTCAGCTCTGAATCCGCATTGTGATTCTGGATAGACTCTCTCTGCACGTACTTGGAGCCTCTTCAATGTGACTCGAGCAAACAGCTTTCCGACAATACTGAGGAGGGAGATGACACGGTAATTGTTGCAGTCGCCCCTGTCACCTTTATTCTTATACAGCGTGACGATGTTGGCGTCCCTCATGTCCTGTAGCACCTCTCCTTCTTACCAGCAGATACAGGATTTCATGCAGCTCTCGACAGGTCGATTCGCTGTCGAGCTCCATTAACACAGGCAGACACTCAATGGTGCTCAGGGAGTCTTCGGTGACCACATTGTCCCTGGCGTATAGCTCAGAGTAGTGCTCGACCCAGCGCTTCAGCTGCAGTGTCTGGTCCTGAATCACCTCACCAGTGGCAGATTTCAGAGGAGCGGTCTTCCTCTGGATTGGGCCGAGGGCCTGCTTGATGCCGTCATACATTCCCCTTACATTGCCTCTATCCGCTGCAGTCTGTATCTGGGAGCAGAGCTGGAGCCAATAGTTGTTGGCACATCGCCTGGCGCTCTGCTGCACTTTGCAGCGGACGGCCCGAAGCATCTGTAAGTTGCGCTGACTTGGGCAGGCTTTGTAGGCTGCCAAGGCGTTTCTCTTCTCTTCGATTACAGGTGTCATCTCTTCCGAGTGAGCCTCGAACCAGTCTGCCGACCTGCTGGTCTTCTTGCCGAAGATGGACATGGCAGAGTTGAACACAGCGTGACTGAAGTGCTCCCATCTTCCATCGTCTGCATAGGTCTATATTTGTGGTGAGTAAGAGCAAGGTGCTTGGCCCCAGTAAAGTCGGATCCTTTCGTGACTTTGACTCAGCGTTGCTCGAGCTGTTGTGGACGGTTGGGCCACAAAAACAGATTAGATAATTACCAAGTGGAAGCACTTTGCCAAGAGGACTATACCGCACCTGGAATTGATACGACGGCCAGAAGCTGAAATATTAGGGCAATGAGGTAGGATATGAGGACAAGGAGCTGGGATATGAGGACAAGGAGCTGGGATATGAGGACAAGGAGCTGGAATATGACGACCAGGAGCTGGGATATGAGGACAAGGAGCTGGGATATGAGGACAAGGAGCTGGGATATGAGGACAAGGAGCTGGGATATGAGGACAAGGAGCTGGAATATGAGGACAAGGAGCTGGGATATGTGGACAAGGAGCTGGGATATGAGGACAAGGAGCTGGAATATGAGGACAAGGAGCTGGGATATGAGGACAAGGAGCTGGGATATGAGGACAAAGAGCTGGGATATGAGGACAAAGAGCTGGGATATGAGGACAAGGAGCTGGGATATGAGGACAGAGAGCTTGAACACGAGCACTGAGGGGGAAAAGAACGGAGCTCAACCACTTGGACCATGGGGGATCGAACTCCAGCCATGCAAGAAGCGAATTCGTCGTTGTCCCGACCAATCCAAACACTTAAAAAAGGTGTTAGATTAGTTTATGTATAATTAATAATCCCTAATTAATTATAGGTATGTGATAACCGATAACTTTGGCTTGACAGAATTTAAGATGCGAACTCAAATTAATGATGTTGGCATATTGAGTGTGTTTTGATTAAGGAATCAATTGATGAGTTGAATGTTTTGTCTAGATTTCATATTTTATTTTGAGCTGGTTGAAATTGATCTCAGTTTCAAATCCTGAAAATATATAGAGAGCTGTAAAAATTGGGGACAGAAATGTGAAGTATTAACACACACACAACTCAAGCTGAAAACTCTTGTTAACAGCCTGACACAGTGAGTGATTTTTCCCCCCATGTTCTGCATGATAACTGATCTCTGGCCTGTGTTGAAAACTTACTGAAAAGTTGCATATCTTTCAAATTTTCCTTCAAAATAATTGTGTGTATATTTAGTTTGAAAAGATATAATATTTGTCTTTCTAATTTCATTTGGCGCTTGAAAAAGCCTTATGCAAATTTATAATATATTTCATCTTGTCTTCCAGGACACTGGTTCGACCCCCGTCCGCGCTCCCATGATTGTCTCACTTGTTTAATTGTAATTGAAGTCTAAATTACTTGTATTTCATCCCCCCCCCCCCCCTTACGTGTCAAATTACACACCACTATTACACTGAAGGGGAGGGGGGGGGGGGGAAGGTCGAAGTTGTTCCTATGTAAACATAAATGTTAATGGTTCAGCATTAACAGTAACAATAAGATATATATATATATATATATATATATATATATATATATATATGTGTGTGTGTGTGTGTGTGTGTGTGTGTGTGTGTGTGTGTGTGTGTGTGTGTGTGTGTGTGTGTGTGTGTGTGTGTGTGTATGTGTGTGTATGTGTGTGTGTGTGTATGTGTGTGTGTGTGTGTGTATGTGTGTGTGTGTGTGTGTGTGTGTGTGTGTGTATCTGGATATTTTGGGTTATAAAATGCAAGAATAGGAATTTTAATTCGTAAAGTGATCAATTAATTGATATGAACAAGTGAGAGGCGAGCGAGGTTTCACACGCTGGGACGCCGGTAATGAGGAGGTGGTTGTGGTGTACCACAGTTGGTCACATTAACAACGTAACAAGGAGGTACGTACCACAGTTAGGCGTGCCCCGGGTACGTGTCTTGGGCAGCTCCACGCCGTGACGATCCACGCACCAACATACCCCTGCCCCGGCATGGCACTGGGTACCCTGGTAGTACCCCTCGCTGTCACACTCAGGGATGTATCCTCCTGTATACATATGTATCTTGTATACACACATGCTACACTGCATTATATATATATAGGCAATTAATCATTAACTTAATTTTTTTTTTACTTTATATTTCTCTGAGCATATTTTCAGGATTTAATGGAATTCCAGGGTATACTCAAATAGATTAACTCCATCATATCTTACCCAGAAGACCCTTGCTGGCTTTGCGGAGCGCCGCGCACGGCCGCTCGGACTTGTCGAAACATTTACACCATTCCCGGGCCGACAGGAAGATGTCCCTGCAAGGAGAGCAGGAAGAAGTATTGGATTTGTGTAGGTTGGTTAATTATCCAATGTGGTCATGAGGCGATGTATATGTGTATGACAGTATACCCTACAGTATACCCTACAGTATACCATACAATACCCTACAGTATACCGTACAGTATACCATACAATACCCTACAGTATACCCTACAGTATACCATACAATACCATACAGTATACCCTACAGTATACTCTTCAATACCTTACAGTATACCCTACAGTACCCTACAGTATATCCTACAGTATACCCTACAGTATACTCTACAATACCCTACAGTATACCCTACAATACCCTACAGTATACTTTACAATACCCTACAGTACCCTACAGTATATCCTACAGTATACCCTACAGTATACTCTACAATACCCTACAGTATACCCTACAATACCCTACAGTATACTTTACAATACCCTACAGTATACCCTACAATATACCCTACAGTATACCCTACAGTATACTTTACAATACCCTACAGTATACAATGCAATACCCTACAGTATATCCTACAATACCCAACAGTATAACCTACAATACCCTACAGTATACCCAACAATACCCTACAGTATACAAAACAATACCCTACAGTATACCCAATAATACCCCACAGTATACCCTACAGTATACCCAACAATACCCTACAGTATACCCAAAAATATGAATTTTTAGCTTAAGTGTTAAATAATATACCTGCAATCTCTTCTTATATCCCAGCTCCTTGTCCTCATACCCCAGCTCCTTGTCCTCATACCCCAGCTCCTTGTCCTCATACCCCAGCTCCTTGTCCTCATATCCCAGCTCCTTGTCCTCATACCCCAGCTCCTTGTCCTCAAATCCCAGCTCCTTGTCCTCATACCCCAGCTCCTTGTCCTCATACCCCATCTCCTTGTCCTCATATCCCAGCTCCTTGACCTCATATCCCAGCTCCGTGTCCTCATATCCCAGCTCCTTTTCCTCATATCCCAGCTCCTTGTCCTCATATCCCAGCTCCTTGTCCTCATATCCCAGCTCCTTGTTCTTATACCCCAGTTCCTTGTCCTAATACCCCAGCTCCTTGTCCTCATATCCCAGCTCCTTCTCCTCATATCCCAGCTCCTTGTTCTTATACCCCAGTTCCTTGTCCTCATACCCCAGCTCCTTGTCCTCATATCCCAGCTCATTGTCCTCATATCCCAGCTCCTTGTCCTCATATCCCAGCTCCTTGTTCTTATACCCCAGTTCCTTGTCCTAATACCCCAGCTCCTTGTCCTCATATCCCAGCTCCTTGTCCTCATATCCCAGCTCCTTGTTCTTATACCCCAGTTCCTTGTCCTCATATCCCAGCTCCTTGTCCTCATATCCCAGCTCCTTGTTCTTATACCCCAGTTCCTTGTCCTAATACCCCAGCTCCTTGTCCTCATATCCCAGCTCCTTGTCCTCATATCCCAGCTCCTTGTTCTTATACCCCAGTTCCTTGTCCTAATACCCCAGCTCCTTGTCCTCATATCCCAGCTCCTTGTCCTCATATCCCAGCTCTTTGTCCTCATATCCCAGCTCCTTGTTCTTATACCCCAGTTCCTTGTCCTCATATCCCAGCTCCTTGTCTTCATATCCCAGCTCCTTGTCCTCATATCCCAGCTCCTTGTTCTTATACCCCAGTTCCTTGTCCTCATATCCCAGCTCCTTGACCTCATATCCCAGCTCCGTGTCCTCATATCCCAGCTCCTTTTCCTCATATCCCAGCTCCTTGTCCTCATATCCCAGCTCCTTGTCCTCATATCCCAGCTCCTTGTTCTTATACCCCAGTTCCTTGTCCTAATACCCCAGCTCCTTGTCCTCATATCCCAGCTCCTTGTCCTCATATCCCAGCTCCTTGTCCTCATATCCCAGCACCTTGTCCTCATATCCCAGCTCCTTGTCCTCATAACCCAGCTCCTTGTCATCATACCCCAGCTCCTTGTCCTCATATCGCACTCCCCCAAGGTGCGTTGACCTACCTACCCATGGAGCGTCGACCCACCTACCTCCCCAAGGAGCGTCGACCCACCTACCTCCCCAAGGAGCGTTGACCCACCTACCCAAGGAGCGTTGACCCACCTACCTATCCAGGTCGCAGCGGTCAATAAAAGGTTTGATGCACCGTTCGTGGTCGTCATGCTCCAGCTGGTAGAGTTCCTTCACACTCAGACGACCGTCCCCGTCGTTGTCCAGGTGTCCCAGCATCCAGGACACCTCGGGCTTGCACCAGGACGGAGCTGCAACACACAAGCACCTCTATTATCTACCTGGAGAAACAAAATCTACCTCGATCATTAAGGCAAAAGGTGGGTGAGGTGCGACCTTCGACAAGCCGCGGGTATCCTGTCCTCGTCGAGGTGTACCATATGCAACCCATCCTCCAAATTGACAGGATGGTTTAAATTAAGTACATTTCCTGACTGTCATATAAAGTACATTATTGCACTTATGGGGCTGTTGCATTTACCTCCCCATTTTTGGAGGACGGGCTGACCATATATCATGGCTCGTGTGGGCCACACGCACCAGCGTCCTCTGGTGGTGGTGGGGTAGATGAGGTACTACTTAGGATGACTGGTTGGGAGTGGGGAGGTATTTGGTGATAACAGGGACAAGGGTCCGAGGGACGAGTGGCCTGATTAGGGACTGAGGGCTAGTGTGATGTGTGTGTGTGTGTGTGTGTGTGTGTGTGTGTGTGTGTGTGTGTGTGTGTGTGTGTGTGTGTGTGTGTGTGTGTGTGTGTGTGTGTGTATACTCACCTATTTGTATTCACCTAGCTGTGCTTGCGTGGGTTGAGCTCTGGCTCTTTGGTCCCGCCTCTCAACTGTCAATCAACAGGTGTACAGGTTCCTGAGCCTACTGGGCTCTATCATATCTACACTTGAAACTGTGTATGGAGTCAGCCTCCACCACATCACTGCCTAATGCATTCCATTTGTCAACCACTCTGACACTAAATAAATTCTTTCTAATATCTCTGTGGCTCATTTGGGCACTCAGTTTCCACCTGTGTCCCCTTGTGCGTGTTCCCCTTGTGTTAAATAGCCTGTCTTTATCTACCCTGTCAATTCCCCTGAGAATCTTGTACGTGGTGATCATATCCCCCCTAACTCTTCTGTCTTCCAGCGAAGTGAGGTTTAATTCCCGTAGTTCCTCGTATCCTCGTAACTCATACCTCTCAGCTCGGGTACTAGTCTGGTGACAAACCTTTGAACCTTTTCCAGTTTAGTCTTATGCTTGACTAGATATAGACTCCATGCTGGTGCCGCATACTCCAGGATTGGTCTGACATATGTGGTATATAATGTTCTGAAAGATTCCTTACACAAGTTTCTAAATGCCGTTCTTATGTTAGCCAACCTGGCATATGCTGCTGATGTTATCCTCTTGATATGAGCTTCAGGGGACAGGTCTGGCGTGATATCAACCCCCAGGTCTTTCTCTCTCTCTGACTCTTGAAGTATTTCATCTCCCAAGTGATACCTTGTATCTGGTCTCCTGCTTCCTACCCCTATCTTCATTACATTACATTTGCTTGGATTAAACTCTAACAACAAAACTCTGTGTGAACTCTTTGTTAAACTGTGTGTGTGTGTGTGTGTGTACTCACCTATTTGTGCTTGCGGGGGTTGAGCTTTGGCTCTTTGGTTCCGCCTCTCAACTGTCAATCAACTGGTGTACAGATTCCTGAGCCTATTGGGCTCTATCATATCTACATTTAAAACTGTGTATGGAGTCAGCCTCCACCACATCACTGCCTAATACATTCCATCCGTTAACTACTCTGACACTGAAAAAGTTCCTTCTAACGTCTCTGTGGCTCATGTGGGTACTCAGTTTCCACCTGTGTCCCCTTGTTCGCGTCCCACCAATGTTGAATAGTTCATCATTGTTTACCCGGTCGATTCCTCTGAGGATTTTGTAAGTTGTGATCATGTCTCCCCTTACTCTTCTGTCTTCCAGTGTCGTAAGGTGCATTTCCCGCAGCCTTTCCTCGTAACTCATGCCTCTTAGTTCTGGGACTAGTCTAGTGGCATACCTTTGGACTTTTTCCAGCTTCGTCTTGTGCTTGACAAGGTACGGGCTCCATGCTGGGGCCGCATACTCCAGGATTGGTCTTACTTATGTGGTGTACAAGATTCTGAATGATTCCTTACACAGGTTCTTGAACGCTGTTCTGATGTTAGCCAGCCTCGCATATGCCGCAGACGTTATTCTTTTTATGTGGGCTTCAGGAGACAGGTTTGGTGTGATATCAACTCCTAGATCTTTCTCTCTGTCCGTTTCATTAAGTACTTCACCTCCTATTCTGTATCCTGTGTCTGGCCTCCTATTTCCACTGCCTTGTTTCATTACTTTGCATTTACTCGGGTTGAACTTCAACAGCCATTTGTTGGACCATTCACTCAGTCTGTCTAGGTCATCTTGTAGCCTCCTACTATCGTCCTTAGTTTCAATCCTCCTCATAATTTTTGCATCATCGGCAAACATTGAATGAAACGATTCTATACCCTCTGGGAGATCATTTACATATATCAGAAACAGTATAGGTCCAAGGACTGACCCCTGCGGGACTCCACTTGTAACGTCTCGCCAATCTGAGACCTCACCCCTCACACTGACTCGTTGTCTCCTGTCGCTTAGGTACTCCTTTATCCAATGGAGTACCTTCCCTTTCATTCCAGCCTGCATCTCCAGCTTTTTCACTAGCCTCAGGTGTGTGCGTGCGTGTGTGTGTGTGTGTGTGTGTGTGTGTGTGTGTGTGTGTGTGTGTGTGTGTGTGTGTGTGTGTGAGTACAGACCTGCATACAGGTGTGGAGCCTTACCTTTAGTGACAGCGTTGGCTCTGGAGCGGGTGTCGGCCATGATGACAGAGAACCAGTCCAGCATCCTGTTCCCCATAGCTTCCAGGGCCTCCTGGGTGCACTCTGTAAGGGGGCAATACCTGCTCTTAGCTCCCATGTAAAGCATCTCCCATGTAAGACATCTTGGATCCCATGCAAAGGGTTCGTATCCCCATGTAAGACATCTTGGATCCCATGCAAAGGGTTCGTATCCCCATGTAAGACATCTTGGATCCCATGCAAAGGGTTCGTATCCCCATGTAAGACATCTTGGATCCCATGCAAAGGGTTCGTATCCCCATGTAAGACATCTTGGATCCCATGCAAAGGGTTCGTATCCCCATGTAAGACATCTTGGATCCCATGCAAAGGGTTCGTATCCCCATGTAAGACATCTTGGATCCCATGCAAAGGGTTCGTATCCCCATGTAAGACATCTTGGATCCCATGCAAAGGGTTCGTATCCCCATGTAAGACATCTTGGATCCCATGCAAAGGGTTCGTATCCCCATGTAAGACATCTTGGATCCCATGCAAAGGGTTCGTATCCCCATATAAGACATCTTGGATCCCATGCAAAGGGTTCGTATCCCCATGTAAGACATCTTGGATCCCATGCAAAGGGTTCGTATCCCCATGTAAGACATCTTGGATCCCATGCAAAGGGTCCGTATCCCCATGTAAGACATCCAGATCCTCTGAAAGGTGTCTTGGGTCCCGCAAATGACTTCTCGGATCGTTTGAGATCTTATGTAAGGCTCTCTTATCCCCCTTTAAGACGCCTCGAACCCCCTTGAAAGGCGTACTTCTGTTACCAGTACTTTGTAACACCTGTTACCAGTACTTTGCAACATCTGTTACCAGTACTTTGCAACATCCGTTACCAGCACTTTGCAACATCTGTTACCAGCACTTTGCAACATCCGTTACCAGCACTTTGCAACATCCGTTACCAGTACTTTGCAACATCTGTTACCAGCACTTTGCAACATCTGTTACCAGCACTTTGCAACATCTGTTACCAGCACTTTGCAACATCTGTTACCAGCACTTTGCAACATCTGTTACCAGCACTTTGCAACATCCGTTACCAGCACTTTGCAACATCCGTTACCAGTACTTTGCAACATCTGTTACCAGCACTTTGCAACATCTGTTACCAGCACTTTGCAACATCTGTTACCAGCACTTTGCAACATCCGTTACCAGCACTTTGCAACATCCGTTACCAGTACTTTGCAACATCTGTTACCAGCACTTTGCAACATCCGTTACCAGCACTTTGCAACATCTGTTACCAGCACTTTGCAACATCTGTTACCAGCACTTTGCAACATCTGTTACCAGTACTTTGCAACATCTGTTACCAGCACTTTGCAACATCTGTTACCAGCACTTTGCAACATCTGTTACCAGCACTTTGCAACATCTGTTACCAGTACTTTGCAACATCTGTTACCAGCACTTTGCAACTGGATTCAATATTCAGTACAAAATCACCCAAATTTGTTCATTTTGTAATTCAGTTTACATGATTTATAACTTAAGAACCCAAGTAATATTATTGGTACTATTGAAATAATTTAGCATTAGCAAATGTTTATTACAAGTTGCAAAATGTATATTAATCTGAAGTTAGTTCAATAAACAATGCAATTGAGGTGTTTCATGCTTGCAAGGCTTACCATTTGGACCCCAGACTGTGTTGGTGGCTTTGTGGGTTGCTTCGTTGTTGCCCCGAGTCCACTGGCGCCTCTGTGCCTGTGGGGAAAGTTGCAGGTCAGTTGTGTCTTGTTGCACAGATATTGTTACACCTTTGTACTTGGTCACAGCTGTTGTACAGACGGTGTTAGACGCCGGTAAGATGGGTCATTACAGACTGTGCAACATGTGTCCCCATCACCATAGACTGTGCAACATGTGTCCCCATCACCCCAGACTGTGCAACATGTGTCCCCATCACCCAAGACTGTGTAACATGTGTCCCCATCACCCCAGACTGTGCAACATGTGTCCCCATCACCCCAGACTGTGCAACATGTGTCCCCATCACCACAGACTGTGTAACATGTGTCCCCATCACCCCAGACTGTGCAACATGTGTCCCCATCACCCCAGACTGTGCAACATGTGTCACCATCACTGTGCACATGTGTCCCCACTGACTGTGCAACATGTGTCACCATCACCCCAGACTGTGCAACATGTGTCCCCATCACCCCAGACTGTGCAACATGTGTCACCATCACCCCAGACTGTGCAACATGTGTCCCCATCACCACAGACTGTGCAACATGTGTCCCCATCACCACAGACTGTGTAACATGTGTCACCATCACCCCAGACTGTGCAACATGTGTCCCCATCACCACAGACTGTGCAACATGTGTCACCATCACCCTAGACTGTGCAACATGTGTCACCATCACCCCAGACTGTGCAACATGTGTCATCACCACCTCAGACTGTGCAACATGTGTCACCATCACCACAGACTGTGCAACATGTGTCACCATCACCACAGACTGTGCAACATGTGTCACCATCACCACAGACTGTGCAACATGTGTCACCATCACCCCAGACTGTGCAACATGTGTCATCATCACCTCAGACTGTGCAACATGTGTCACCATCACCCCAGACTGTGCAACATGTGTCCCCATCACCCCAGACTGTGCAACATGTGTCCCCATCACCCCAGACTGTGCAACATGTGTCACCATCACCCCAGACTGTGCAACATGTGTCACCATCACCCCAGACTGTGCAACATGTGTCACCATCACCCCAGACTGTGCAACATGTGTCACCATCACCCCAGACTGTGCAACATGTGTCACCATCACCCCAGACTGTGCAACATGTGTCACCATCACCCCAGACTGTGCAACATGTGTCACCATCACCCCAGACTGTGCAACATGTGTCACCATCACCCCAGACTGTGCAACATGCGTCACCATCACCACAGACTGTGCAACATGTGTCCCCATCACCCCAGACTGTGCAACATGTGTCACCATCACCCCAGACTGTGCAACATGTGTCACCATCACCCCAGACTGTTCAACATGCATCACAACAAGAACACTGAGAACAAGAACAGTGACTCACGTTGTATTTGTCCATCTGTCTGTAGTTCTCCTTCTTGTACTTGCCGTTGAACTTCTTATAGTTGTTCTTGACTCTGCCAAGACGGCTGCGGACTCTGTTAGCATACTTCTCACCATCCCTGTTGTGTTTCTCCCGTCTGTTGCCGTTGTCTCTGTTGCGTGCCTGTTGCTGGCCCTCCCTGAGGCGCCCGCGTGTGCTGTTGTCCCTATCCTCCGCCCTGCTGAAGGATGAGGATGAGGCTGTCGAGGAGGAAGAGGTGGAGGATGAGTCCGAGGAGGACGGGTCGGAGGAGAGAGCCTGGGCCAGGGGCTCGTCCTTGGTGGCTCGGAGCTTGCTGATGTAGGCGTCATGGCGCTCCCTCTGGCGCTCCTTCTTCGATGTGTGTGTGCTGCTCTCTGTAATAGTGAAGGACGGTGTGAGGGTGTGTGGGTAGCTGGGGTGTGTGGGTAGCTGGGGTGTGTGGGTAGCTGGGGTGTGTGGGTAGCTGGGGTGTGTGGGTAGCTGGGGTGTGTGGGTAGCTGGGGTGTGTGGGTAGCTGGGGTGTGTGGGTAGCTGGGGTGTGTGGGTAGCTGGGGTGTGTGGGGGCTAGCTGGGGTGTGTGGGTAGCTGGGGTGTGTGGGTAGCTGGGGTGTGTGGGTAGCTGGGGTGTGTGGGTAGCTGGGGTGTGTGGGTAGCTGGGGTGTGTGGGTAGCTGGGGTGTGTGGGTAGCTGGGGTGTGTGGGTAGCTGGGGTGTGGGGTGTGGGGTAGCTGGGGTGTGTGGGTAGCTGGGGTGTGTGGGTAGCTGGGGTGTGGGGGTAGCTGGGGGGGTGTGTGGGTAGCTGGGGTGTGTGGGTAGCTGGGGTGTGTGGGTAGCTGGGGTGTGTGGGTAGCTGGGGTGTGTGGGTAGCTGGGGTGTGTGGGTAGCTGGGGTGTGAGGGTAGCTGGGGTGTGAGGGTAGCTGGGGTGTGGGGTAGCTGGGGTGTGTGGGTAGCTGTGGGTGTGTGGGTAGCTGGGGTGTGTGGGTAGCTGGGGTGTGTGGGTAGCTGGGGTGTGTGGGTAGCTGGGGTGTGTGGGTAGCTGGGGTGTGTGGGTAGCTGGGGTGTGTGGGTAGCTGGGGTGTGTGGGTAGCTGGGGTGTGAGGGTAGCTGGGGTGTGTGGGTAGCTGGGGTGTGTGGGTAGCTGGGGTGTGTGGGTAGCTGGGGTGTGTGGGTAGCTGGGGTGTGGGGTAGCTGGGGTGTGTGGGTAGCTGGGGTGTGAGGGTAGCTGGGGTGTGTGGGTAGCTGGGGTGTGTGGGTAGCTGGGGTGTGTGGGTAGCTGGGGTGTGTGGGTAGCTGGGGTGTGTGGGTAGCTGGGGTGTGAGGGTAGCTGGGGTGTGTGGGTAGCTGGGGTGTGTGGGTAGCTGGGGTGTGAGGGTAGCTGGGGTGTGTGGGTAGCTGGGGTGTGTGGGTAGCTGGGGTGTGAGGGTAGCTGGGGTGTGTGGGTAGCTGGGGTGTGTGGGTAGCTGGGGTGTGAGGGTAGCTGGGGTGTGTGGGTAGCTGGGGTGTGTGGGTAGCTGGGGTGTGTGGGTAGCTGTGGGGTGCTGGGGTGTGGGGTAGCTGGGGTGTGTGGGTAGCTGGGGTGTGAGGGTAGCTGGGGTGTGTGGGTAGCTGGGGTGTGAGGGTAGCTGGGGTGTGTGGGTAGCTGGGGTGTGTAGGGGGTGTAGCTGGGGTGTGGGGTGTGAGGGGGTGTGTGGGTAGCTGGGTGTGTGGGTAGCTGGGGTGTGTGAGTGTGTGGGTAGCTGGGGTGTGTGGGTAGCTGGGGTGTGAGGGTAGCTGGGGTGTGTGGGTAGCTGGGGTGTGTGGGTAGCTGGGGTGTGTGGGTAGCTGGGGTGTGTGGGTAGCTGGGGTGTGCTGGGGTAGCTGGGGTGGGGTAGCTGGGGTGTGGGGTAGCTGGGGTGTGTGGGTAGCTGGGGTGTGTGGGTAGCTGGGGTGTAGCTGGGGTGTGTGCTGGGGTGTGTGGGTAGCTGGGGTGTGTGGGTAGCTGGGGTGTGTGGGTAGCTGGGGTGTGTGGGTAGCTGGTAGGGTGGGGGTGTGTGGGTAGCTGGGGTGTGTGGGTAGCTGGGGTGTGTGGGTAGCTGGGGTGTGTGGGTGTGTGGGTAGCTGGGGTGTGTGGGTAGCTGGGGTGTGTGGGGGTGTGAGGGTAGCTGGGGTGTGTGGGTAGCTGGGGTGTGAGGGTAGCTGGGGTGTGAGGGTAGCTGGGGTGTGTGGGTAGCTGGGGTGTGAGGGTAGCTGGGGTGTGTGGGTAGGGGGTGTGAGCTGGGGTGTGTGGGTAGCTGGGGTGTGAGGGTAGCTGGGGTGTGTGGGTAGCTGGGGTGTGAGGGTAGCTGGGGTGTGTGGGTAGCTGGGGTGTGAGGGTAGCTGGGGTGTGGGGTGTGGGGTGTGTGGGTAGCTGGGGTGTGTGGGTAGCTGGGGTGTGTGGGTAGCTGGGGTGTGAGGGTAGCTGGGGTGTAGCTGGGGTGTGTGGGTAGCTGGGGTGTGTGGGTAGCTGGGGTGTGTGGGTAGCTGGGGTGCTGGGGTGTGGGGTAGCTGGGGTGTGTGGGTAGCTGGGGTGTGAGGGTAGCTGGGGTGTGAGGGTAGCTGGGGTGTGGGGTGGGGGTAGCTGGGGTGTGTGGGTAGCTGGGGTGTGAGGGTAGCTGGGGTGTGTGGGTAGCTGGGGTGTGAGGGTAGCTGGGGTGTGTGGGCTGGGGTGTGTGGGTAGCTGGGGTGTGTGGGTAGCTGGGGTGTGTGGGTAGCTGGGGTGTGAGGGTAGCTGGGGTGTGAGGGTAGCTGGGGTGTGTGGGTAGCTGGGGTGTGTAGGGTAGCTGGGGTGTGTGGGTAGCTGGGGTAGCTGGGGTGTGTGGGTAGCTGGGGTGTGTGGGTAGCTGGGGTGTGAGGGTAGCTGGGGTGTGTGGGTAGCTGGGGTGTGAGGGTAGCTGGGGTGTGTGTGGTAGCTGGGGTGTGTGGGTAGCTGGGGTGTGAGGGTAGCTGGGGTGTGAGGGTAGGGTAGCTGGGGTGTGTGGGTAGCTGGGGTGTGTGGGTAGCTGGGGTGTGAGGGTAGGGGGTAGGGTAGCTGGGGTGTGTGGGTAGCTGGGGTGTGTGGGTAGCTGGGGTGTGAGGGTAGGGGGTGTGAGCTGGGGTGTGTGGGTAGCTGGGGTGTGTGGGTAGCTGGGGTGTGGGTAGCTGGGGTAGCTGGGGTGTGAGGGTAGCTGGGGTGTGAGGGTAGCTGGGGTGTGTGGGTAGCTGGGGTGTGAGGGTAGCTGGGGTGTGAGGGTAGCTGGGGTGTGTGGGGTAGGGGGTGTGAGGGTAGCTGGGGTGTGAGGGTAGCTGGGGTGTGAGGGTAGCTGGGGTGTGAGGGTAGCTGGGGTGTGCTGGGTAGCTGGGGTGTGAGGGTAGCTGGGGTGTGAGGGTAGCTGGGGTGTGTGGGTAGCTGGGGTGTGAGGGTAGCTGGGGTGTGAGGGTAGCTGGGGTGTGAGGGGGTGTGAGCTGGGGTGTGTGGGGGTAGCTGGGGTGTGAGGGTAGCTGGGGTGTGTGCTGGGGTGTGAGGGTAGCTGGGGTGTGTGGGTAGCTGGGGTGTGTGAGGGTAGCTGGGGTGTGAGGGTAGCTGGGGTGTGAGGGTAGCTGGGGTGTGAGGGTAGCTGGGGTGTGAGGGTAGCTGGGGTGTGAGGGTAGCTGGGGTGTGAGGGTAGCTGGGGTGTGAGGGTAGCTGGGGTGTGTGGGGTAGCTGGGGTGTGAGGGTAGCTGGGGTGGGTGCTGGGGTGTGGGGTAGCTGGGGTGTGTGGGTAGCTGGGGTGTGTGGGTAGCTGGGGTGTGTGGGGGTGTGAGGGTAGCTGGGGTGTGTGGGTAGCTGGGGTGTGGGGTAGCTGGGGTGTGGGTAGCTGGGGTGTGTGGGTAGCTGGGGTGTGAGGGTAGCTGGGGTGTGAGGGTAGCTGGGGTGTGTGGGTAGCTGGGGTGTGAGGGTAGCTGGGGTGTGAGGGTAGCTGGGGTGTGAGGGTAGCTGGGGTGTGAGGGTAGCTGGGGTGTGAGGGTAGCTGGGGGTGTGAGGGTAGCTGGGGTGTGAGGGTAGCTGGGGTGTGTGGGTAGCTGGGGTGGGGTGTGGGTAGCTGGGGTGTGAGGGTAGCTGGGGTGTGTGGGTAGCTGGGGTGTGTGGGTAGCTGGGGTGTGAGGGTAGCTGGGGTGTGAGGGTAGCTGGGGTGTGAGGGTAGCTGGGGTGTGAGGGTAGCTGGGGTGTGTGGGGGTAGCTGGGGTGTGTAGCTGGGGTGTGGGGTAGCTGGGGTGTGTGGGTAGCTGGGGTGTGAGGGTAGCTGGGGTGTGTGGGTAGCTGGGGTGTGTGGTAGCTGGGGTGTGAGGGTAGCTGGGGTGTGTGGGTAGCTGGGGTGTGAGGGTAGCTGGGGTGTGTGAGGGTAGCTGGGGTGTGTGGGTAGCTGGGGTGTGAGGGTAGCTGGGGTGTGAGGGTAGCTGGGGTGTGAGGGTAGCTGGGGTGTGAGGGTAGCTGGGGTGTGTGGGGTAGCTGGGGTGTGAGGGTAGCTGGGGTGTGTGGGTAGCTGGGGTGTGGGGGGGGGTAGCTAGCTGGGTGTGTGGGTAGCTGGGGTGTGAGGGTAGCTGGGGTGTGAGGGTAGCTGGGGTGTGAGGGTAGCTGGGGTGTGAGGGTCGCTGGGGTGTGTGGGTAGCTGGGGTGTGTGGGTAGCTGGGGTGTGTGGGTGCTGGGGTGTGGGGTAGCTGGGGTGTGAGGGTAGCTGGGGTGTGTGCTGGGGTGTGTGGGTAGCTGGGGTGTGAGGGTAGCTGGGGTGTGAGGGTAGCTGGGGTGTGAGGGTAGCTGGGGTGTGAGGGTAGCTGGGGTGTGTGGGTAGCTGGGGTGTGAGGGTAGCTGGGGTGTGAGGGTAGCTGGAGTGTGAGGGTAGCTGGGGGTGTGAGGGTAGCTGGGGTGTGAGGGTAGCTGGGGTGTGAGGGTAGCTGGGGTGTGAGGGTAGCTGGGTGTGTGGGTAGCTGGGGTGTGGGTAGCTGGGGTGTGTGGTAGGGGGTGTGAGCTGGGGTGTGTAGCTGGGTGTGTGCTGGGCTGGGGTGTGAGGGTAGCTGGGGTGTGAGGGTAGCTGGGGTGTGTGGGTAGCTGGGGTGTGTGGGTAGCTGGGGTGTGTGGGTAGCTGGGGTGTGTGGGTAGCTGGGGTGTGAGGGTAGCTGGGGTGTGAGGGTAGCTGAGGTGTGTGGGTAGCTGGGCTGGGGTGTGTGGGTAGCTGGGGTGTGAGGGTAGCTGGGGTGTGTGGGTAGCTGGGGTGTGAGGGTAGCTGGGGTGTGAGGGTAGCTGGGGTGTGTGGGTAGCTGGGGTGTGTGGGTAGCTGGGGTGTGTGGGTAGCTGGGGTGTGAGGGTAGCTGGGGTGTGAGGGTAGCTGGGGTGTGTGGGTAG